GCCCGGGTTAGCAGGGAAACTGGGAGAGGGATTTGAACGCTTTTGTAAGGTCTCCTTGGGTGAGTGCTTTTGAAGAGTCTCCTTGGGTGGATTTCTCGAAAGATAACACAAGCTAGCCGTCGATACCTAGGCCCGACGACTCCAAGAAGCCAGTGAGACAGAAGGAGAAGTGGCCGACGGTGGTGACAGCAATGTGGGGGCAGAAAATGTAGATGGCGGCGACAGCACCACTGGAGGGGAAGTGGCCGACGGAGGCGAAAGCAGTGTGGGAGCAGAAAATGTAGATGGAGGCGACAGCACCATTGGAGGAGAAGTGCTGGATGGCAGCGACACCGCCATTGGAGGAGAAGTGGCCGACGGTGGTGAGAGCAGTGTGGGAGCAGAAGTTGCAGATGGTGGCGACAGCACCGCTGGAGGAGAATTGCTGGATGGCGACAGCACCACTGGAGGAGAAGTGGCCGAGAGTGGTGACAGCAGTGTGGGAGCAGAAGTTGCCAATGGTAGTGGTAGCACCATTAACGGAGAGGTGGTTGGTGAAGGCGACGGCACTGTGGGAGGAGGGACGGTGTATAGCGGTGAAACAGATTTCGAGCACAACAGTGGCAGATTCGGTGGAGGCAGCCATTTCATTAGCGGACTTGGTGGCGAGTTTGTCGAGAATGGTGTAGAGCCCACAGGCCACTGGAATGGAGCGCAATACATCCACAACAACGTTTATGGCAACCAGGGGTCGTACATTCCGGGTGGGCAGTATGGTTTAGTGGCCGGGCTTGATGGCAACAGTTTCAATACATGGGTGGATGGACGCTACGGTCATTACGACCATGCTGGCACTTGGCTCGACCAGCAGTTCCCGCATGATGCTTGGTATGGTGAACACTATGGGCATTATGATCAGAATGGAGGTTGGGTTGGCATGACTTACCCACATGATGCTTGGGTTGGCGGACACTTCGGACATTACAACCATCAAGGCGTGTGGGTTGAGGCCGCTCATGGTGGAGACTACCATGTTTATCACCCTGTTGAAGGAGCTCAAGTTCAAGGAGCACCCGTCCACCATGTCATTGAAAAGAACTTGTACTCCGTGCGGACTCAAACCCATGTCATCCATGATCCTGTTCCTGTTCCAGGTCAAGTGATTCACAAGTCCATGTCAGTGCCTGCGAAGCCTGTCTACGACTGCTTCAGTGGCTTCCACAGCTGGAAACAGTGGACACAGGACCAGCAGAGGTATTGCTGCTACAAGTACAGCCGGGCATGCACAACAAAAACCATCCACCACTTGCGCTACCACACCATAGTGCAGAACCACAGCATCCCAGTGCCTGTGCCGAAGCCCATCCCTGTTCATTTGCCTCCACCTCCTCCAAAGGTCATCAAAGTGCCAGTGCCAATGCCACCCCCACCCCGCAAAGTTGTGAAGGTCCCATACCCCGTGAGAGAGCCCTCTCCCGACCCCAAAGTCATCACCAAAGTGATCAAGTACAACAAGCCTGTGCCAACTCCGGTAGTCGTGCACAAGACTGAGAAGATCCCTGTTCCAATCAAGAACGTCAAGTATGTGAAGGTGCCGGTGCCGGTGCCAAGTCCTCCAAAAGTCGTTTACCACACGCACAAGGTTGTTTCGCATGCTTATGATTGCGACGATGGCTTGCACAGTTGGCAAGACGCTTGGTCCCACTCCAAGCGTCTCTATTGCTGCTGGCGGAGGAGCATTGGCTGCCCACACTCCCATACAGTGTACCACACCAAGACCATTTATCATACAAAGCTCGTGCATCAAAAAGTGAAGCTTCCACCGCAAACCATCTACAAAGACGTCACAGTACACCACACGATCGACATTGATTGTAACAGTGGCTTCTCCAATTGGTACTACGGCTGGTCCAACTACAAGAAGCATTATTGCTGCACACATGAGAAAAGAGGATGTCCTGGAACTTGGCACGGCTTCATCCAAGGGCACGGTGAGCTTCACGTGGCGCATGTGGGTCATGCCACAGGGCGTATTTATGATTGTGAAGCCGGCTTCTCGAATTGGCTTCATGGATGGTCAGATTCCAAGAAGAAGTGGTGCTGCAGCAAGGAGTCAAAGGGCTGCGTGAAGTTTCACGGCTGCGACAACACTGATGTCAGAACATGGTCAAGTGAGAAGCGAGACTGGTGCTGTGGCAATTTCCAGAGGGGCTGCCCACAAACCACCTTGTCTGCTTTAGGATGCCGAACCCCTTGCGAAATCCATGGCGAGACCTCCACTTGTCAGGAGCGCTTGCTGGCTTTCAGTGACACGCACTTTTGCAGTGACACGCACTTTTGCAGTGACACGTACTTGAGTGTTTTGACGCACACCGCGTAATCATGGTCAACCAAGTATATAAGTAGTAAGCAGGAGCAAGGACGCTAGTAGGGGATCCTGGCGCTACTAGGAACAAGGACGCTAGTAGGGGCTCCTGGCCTTACTACTAGTAACAAGAAGCTATTAGAAACAAGTAAGCAGGAGCGGATCCACTGGGCCCGAGACCACGTTTTTGGAGGCAAGGGCAACGCGTGCACGCTGGCGTACAGCCAGATTCAGGCGGGCTGCCATGTCCAATCATGTACCAGTATTGGTACTTGCAATTGGACTCGGGGTTGAAAAGATTTGAAAGGTATGCAGGGGTGCACCTAGGCCCGGGTCAAATGCGCAGCTCATGCCAGGTGGAATGTGATGTGTGCCGCTCATGCACTGTGGAAGCAGCTGGGTGCACGGTGACTGCAGTCGCGAAGGATCCCTATGACTGCGATGCCGCTTTGAACAACTTCTTCCGTGCTTGGTCTCCACCAAAGAAGCAGTGGTGCTGCAACAATCGTGGTAAGGGCTGTGAAGGCAACAGCCCTCCCAAGGTGGATCCTGGTGCAGGCATGAAGTGGAAGCATGTGCAGGTGAACGGCTACTGGACCTGGCAGGTGGTTGCTGGTGGAGGAGCCCTGGGGCCTGCAAGTCTCCCGTATGATTGCAATGTTGGCGTGGTGAATTGGAAGATTGGCTGGTCTGCCCCGAAAAAGACATGGTGCTGCGCACACAACAAGGTGGGCTGCCCGGGAAGTGCCGGAGGTGTCGCAGGACATGCCACACACGTGACAGTCCACTACACCCATGCCACAGCGAGCGGTGCAGCCGCCACAGCAGGTTCTGCCTCAAGTGCAGGTGCCGCAGGCTCTTTCTCCGCTCACGGAGGGTCTTTCACGCACGTTCACCACGAAATCCATGTGGTCCATCACCACTGACCACAACCTGCAGGCAGGAGGATGGAGGGTGCACATTTGAGCAATGATTGCCGGCGAGATTAGTGATAGTTAAGCAAATTGCAAATGCATTCTTCAATGATTTCAGTTGATCAAATAGTCGGCAGATTCTCTTAGAGCACATGTGACATACATGGAGGATCATGGAAGAAATTGCTATGTCACTGTGAGTAGTGAAGAGTTCGAGCAAACCAAATTGTAGACTAGCAAACAGTACCTCATTTTGCTGTACATCTTGTTGTGCTGTGTTGACATTGTTTGCTTGGCTGAGTGTCCTTTCCAGGATCAGCTGATGGCTTCAAGAACTCAATGTAGTTCTTCGCCTGACAGCACTTAATTGAACTAGTGGCCTGCAGAATTCCGCAAGTTTAACTGATCACGGAAAAGGCCGAAGATACACAGCCACTGAGCAGTGGATGTCGCAGCTCGACGTTGTTCCTACACAGTCCAGCACCTTTTGGACATGAAAGCCCGCCCGTGCCAGAGGATCAAGGGTTGCAGATACACTTGGACATTATCATAAGAGGAAACTTGTCCTTGGCCTTCTCCGTATTTCTCCGTAGGAAAGTCTTGTTTAAGATTGTTTAAGCAACATGGCTGTTGGCAGACAAGAGTCGACACATCGTAGAACTACCTGCTGGTCTAGCGATCGGGTGTGCGGTGTGCGGTCTCGTGGCCTCATCATGCACTTGAGCCTCAAGCAGCAGGCAGTTCCGACGACAAATCACCGTCATTGTGACGCCATTGCCGCAAGCTGTTGAAATTTGGTTTCGTTATGTGTCATTGATGTTTGAAGATGTTTGAAGCAAAACAGCGTTGCTCGGTGCTGAGTTTCTTGACTTTCTTCATCGTGCTAGCGCATTCCAACCTTCTGAGGAGAGATGGCCACGCTGTATGAAGTACAAGGAGCCAAAGATGTCCAGCAATTCTTTGGCAGGACAAGTTCCATGCTCCATCTTTCAAGGTTTATCAAATTTGATCAAATTTGGCAATGTCCTTCTTGGCACCAGGTGAATGATAGGCGTCATAGGCTTCATTGGTGTACAGCTTCTTTCAGTTTCCCTGGAAGCGAAGGCACAAGCACACCGAAAGCTTTTCAGCTGCACACGCTTTCCGCAGGTTGCACGTTGCAGACCTGCCCACACTCCCCACTTAGATTTGTAGGCGTTCCCCACACCTTTCCCAGCCTTTCTGACTCCTTTGTTTTTTTGACTAGTGATGCCCGCCTCGGGGTTGTCAAGTGTGCAGGCTGCGGAGACGAAGATCTTTGCAGTCAGAGGTTCACAAAGGATGTATACAGTACATAAGGCAACACACAGGTAGACCAATGTCACAATTACGCACATATTGTGTACATATAGCAAGGCGCAAGATGGCGCCAGAGTGAGTTTTTACTGATGCCCTAGATAGATACAAAAAGAGCGTGCGGGCCGCGTTTGGCGAGCGTTATGTTGGCCAGCTGCCAGCTCGTAGCAGTGCAAATGTGTCATGCCTGCGTCACATAAATTCTCAGGATGCTCACGAATGTTCCGACGTGACCTGTGATCTGGCTCAAATGTCGTGTTGCTAGGGGTCGGTTTTGGCTGTCCCTTGCAGAGAAACCTGACAGGGTGCAATGATTCGCCGCAAAAGGTTTCATGGTCCATCCATTTGGGGTAAAAACACTTTTTTTTCGGCCAGCCTTTGATCCCTTGTCTTTGTCGCTGTGAGCCATGGATATGCACGGGGCTTATGCATATGGCTCGGGCTCATATGGTGCCAGGGGAGGCGTTGTGATCGCCGGCGACCGCGGTGGGGTCGCAGGCGCCGAGGTCGATCCATGTGGTGAATGCTTTTTTGAAGCTGACCCTGCCACTTTGCAAACCGAAGAGAAATGGGTCTATGTGGGTGATGGACGCGGGAGCTATGCTCAGGCTACTCAAATGCAGATGGTGGGCCATGGACAGGGCTCGTTCGAGAAGCAGACACATGCTCAAGTGACAGGTTACAGGTGCCGTGCTTGCTGTGTGGCGCTGGGTTGCTTCCTTTTCATCCTTGCTCTTCTTCTACCCATTGGTTTTGCCAACAACTGGTGGATGACTTCCTTTGACGCGCCGAATCAGTGCATGACAACCTACTCACCTGCCTTCATGGCACGGACAGATGCAGGCGCCGTGTCTATTCGCCAGACTTGTTGTGCCCAGGGGTATGCTCACTTTTGTGTGGCTGCGGTTGCTCCAAGGCCTCAGACACTTGTGGTGCATGATCAGTACTACACTCAGGTGAAGGACGTGCCGGTTCCCCACACCGTGCCGGTGCCTATTCCTGCTCCACCACGCAAAGTGATCACACACAAATTGATGGTGCACACACATGCCTACGATTGTGACTCAGGCCTGACCGACTACAAGCATACGTGGACCCCAAAGAAGCAGCGCTACTGCTGCTACCTGCGGCACATTGCTTGCCACACCAAGGTGACTTACAGACCCCATTACCACACCATCACGAAGGTCAAGCACATCACAGTACCCGTTCATGTGCCTATCCCAGCACCTCCAGCTGCGGTCGTCAACAAGGTGGTGAATGTGCCGATCCATGATCCACCAAAGGTCATCAAAGTGCCGGTGCCTGGCAAACCTCATGTGGTCCCAAAGTATTTGCACAAGAAGGTGCCGGTGCCTGTGCCGCAGCCTACTCCACCGAAGTATCACACTGTGCGTGTGCCTGTGAAGATCAGAGACCCCGGAAAAACCATCAAGGTGCCAGTCCCAATGCCATCAAAAACGATAGTGAAGAACCGGGTCATTTACAAGACCCGTCATGTGAAAGTTCAACACATCTATGACTGCAATGCGGGCTACAGCAATTGGAATTCAGGGTGGTCTTCTGCCAAAAAGTCCTGGTGCTGCAGTCACGAGAACAAAGGCTGCCCAGGCGACCACTCAGGTCATCTTACAAAGACAGTTGTCACGCATGTCACGTCGCACATGGGACCTGAGTACTACAGTCATCACTACACCACCGGTCATGCCACGGGTCACTACCACATCTCTCACTTAAGCCCTGCGACCATTGTCCACCACGTCCACCACTACCACTCGGGATCTGTGGGCGATGCGGGTGGATACCACAGTGGAACCGCAGACTACCACAGCGGAACACTTGTTGTTCATCATCACCACTACCATGCAACATGGCAGAAAGAGCACGAGGGAAAAACATGAAAAGAAAGATGCTTTTATCAAGTCTTGCTTAACAAGTTAGTGCTGTGCTTTACAGTAGTTTTTGGCATGGAGGTTGATTGATACCTAGGCACGCCGACTGCAAGAAGAAAAGAGCATGACAGGAGACGGGGCGGACAGTGCAAGAGAGAGGATGATTTGAGAGCTGGTTGCTGCATGTTGCTGCAGTCTTGCCGCGCAACAGTAGCAGAACCATCCGCAGCCTTCGCTTCACGCACATCATGTGCAGCAGCGACATTTTGTAGTTGGCTGGTTTTCCAAGGATAGCCCATGGCCCTAAGGGCTCAAAGCTATTCTTCAAATGGCTGCCCTTTTATTTTCCCATGTGACCTGCAGACTTCCGCAAGCGACTGATCATGGAAAAGGCCGAAGATACAAAGCCCCTGAGCAGTGGATATTGCTGTTTGACCTTGTGGATGTTCCTGCACAATCCCGAGACTCTTTGACATGAAAGCCAGCCTGTGCTAGAGGATCAAGGGTTGCAGCTCGACGTTGTTCCTGCACAGTCCAGCGCCTTTTGGACATGAAAGCCCGCCTGTGCCAGAGGATCAAGGTCCACAGATACACTGGACATTATATATCATAAGAGGAAACTTGTTCTTGGCCTTCTCCGTATTTCTCCGTAGGAAAGTCTTGTTTAAGATTGTTTAAGCAACATGGCTGTTGGCAGACAAGAGTCGACACATCGTAGAACTACCTGCTGGTCTAGCGATCGGGTGTGCGGTGTGCGGTCTCGTGGCCTCATCATGCACTTGAGCCTCAAGCAGCAGGCAGTTCCGACGACAAATCACCGTCATTGTGACGCCATTGCCGCAAGCTGTTGAAATTTGGTTTCGTTGATGATTGAAGCAAGGCAGTGTGGAGATTCAACAAGTTTAGCACAGCCCTTCCTGGCATCAGGTGAATCACAGGCTTCATGGTTTAGTTGTTTACTGTATATAATATTTGCATATGTACTGTAATATAGAGTTGCTCTGAGATTTTCTCTTGCTGAGTGCACTGCATTCGTGAGGGTTCCGGAAAGTCATTGCAACCCTGAAAACGTTCCACCCGTTCTATGGATCCCTGATTTTGACCATACGTTCTACGGCGTTTGTCCACTCCATGCTCCGATTTTCTGAGTGCTTCAACACCTCAGCCTTTTTGGCTCATACTCATTCAATGTAGTGATGCGCTGCCTGCTAGCCTTGCTGGGGTGTTGCCAGGTTCGCGGAGGGCACAAGTGCTTGACAGATGGGGACGTGCCCGACGAACACGCAAGGTAACAACCAAGTGAGCAATCGAAATGATCAATTATGCCAGCATAGACATAGACTCCAAACAGTTTCAGTTTTCGGTGTAAACTCCTTGAATTCCATGTTGGTGGTGGTAATGTCGGTAATTATATTCGTATAGCCTCCAGCTGTTTGGGAATGGCATGTCAGCCTGATTCCTGGGTCACATGTGCAAAAACGATGGATATTTATGTTATGATACAATTGACAATCGGATGATACCGAATACGCTATCTCACTGTTCCGTTCATAGCCGCACGCAAATATACCCGGACAAGGCGGTGGAGAGGACAAGGCTCGGACAAGGCGCTGATACAAGGGCCAACAACGCGGGCAAACAGGACAGACGGATCCGGACAAGGCCTGAAGGCCTGGACAAAGCCCTCACAAGGTGCAGAAGAAAGGCCCACGGCACCCGGCCCACGTCGCGGCCGGACAACGCCTGGACAAGGCAGAGAAGGGCCCACAGCGCGGCCACGGCCATCATCACCAGCGCAAGAGGAAATGAGGAGGACAAGAGGAGGACATAGGGTTTTGCGAGCGCGGCCAGAGGACAGGAGGACAACGCCCGGACAAGGGCTCAGGGGCGCGGCCAAAGGCCGTGGCCAGTGTTTTTTCCTAAGAAGAGCCCCGACAGCAAACTGTTTCGGAAAGACATTTGTTGGAAGACCAGAAGACCACGTTTGAAAAGGTGTTTCTTTGCTATTCCTGTGAAGGTGCTCGGCAACGTGACTGGAAGCCCCCTCAACAAGGCTCATTGAAAGGGTTGAGTTGCGAGAGTCGAGTTGACACGTTTCACGGGCTTGAAGGCCATAGAGCTCATCGAGACCCTCCAGTCAAATGTGGAAGCAGATGGGGTAAAGCAAGAGGAGGCTTATAGAAAGTACAAGGAGCTTCGAGCCGGTGACATGTGAGCAGCTTGGGCAACAGGAAATCCAGAGATGCCAAGCAGATTCCGCATTTTCCATGTAGCCAGCCGGATTTGCACAGGACTGGTGCGAAACGCAGACAGCGGAGTTGCTCCGAGAAGTGGAGACACAGAAGAAGTCGTCAAACAAAGTGGCAGCAGAGCCTTCGGTCAACAATTGAAATTAAATCTGACTTTGGGAAAGGCACAAGTGCAGCAATGTTCAATATTGTGACCGGGCCAAGGCCAAGATTTGTACAAGGAACAACTCATTTTGGCCCAGCCACCAAGGACATTTATGAGGCGGAAGCTATTCACGCAGCTGCCGCAGCTGCAATTGAGAAGCTCGCCTCACAGGCTAGCTTGCCGCGGAATAGCCTCGGCTTACATTCGTTTGAGGACCATTAGCACACGCCCCACAGCTGTCGCAGGTGGCGCATGCAGAGGCAAAGTTGCAAAATGCCAAAGAGGTGAGAAAGGAGGACCGAAGAAATGATCAACATGTTCAATTAACATCACTGTACAAGACATACACACGCAAAACGATTCAAAACAAAGCTAATGTAGTTCATTGAATTCATGCCAGTGTGGCCCTTTTGGGTGTCCAGGACCACAAAGCCTTCAAAGTCTCTGAAATCTCGCTGGTTGACACCATCAGTACAATAGATAAGGTTGCAGAGGCTCGGACGTGACATCAACACCCAAGAATGATACTTGCTGTAAGCGGCTTCGGCTTTCCTGAACCACAGACAAGAAAGAGAAAGAGGGGGAGAGAGAGAGAGAGAGCGCGCTTGCGAGAAACATGAGGAAACACTTGCCAGGGATTTGTTGTAAACGTCCATGCTGAGCACCCTGGGCCAACACAACAAAGCCACTATTTTTCCATCACACTGGCCCCTCTGGCTCAGGCAATCTCAAGCAAAGATGCAGATCAGAAATCATCGGCCTTGCAGTACCTTGCTGGCAGCCAACTCTTGCACATGACTTAGTGGACGCTGCGCGAACGCTGCCTTTGCTAGGCAAATGTCCTCAGATGAGGTGGGCAGCCTCGATCATTTCATGCAAAGCACAGTTGTTGACACAATGTCAGGCCAGTAAGAAACAACTGTGGCTATGCCCTCTAAGTTTGCAGGCTAACCGTGCAAGTGACATGCAACTTGGCTTCAAGCTGGAACTGCCACGGGAGTGGGGCCAAAGTCACTTGCCAATCAATGCGGAATCATACTATGCTCACCCGCAGTCTTCACCATGGTCCCTGCAATGTTGAGTGATGGAAAAGATGTTGTCAGGCACATTGATGTTCTTGGCCGATACCTGAGGCTTTTGGGCTTGGCAGCAGTGGTCGACTCTTCAGGTGGTCCTCTCAAGCTACCAGCACTCTTTCAGGAATCGGACCAGTGTTTGGAGCTGGCTTTGCCCATTGGTCACTGAAGGTGCTACTAAATACTTCTTGTGACAGTATGCATGTGCAGCGCTACATGGCAACTTGGCGAAGGACACAGCCGAGGCTGAAGAATTAGAAGGAAGTTCCACTGTTGCCCAGCAGCTTGGTGATTGCTCTAGGCAAACGCAACCGACTTTATGGGAATATGTTTGGCAAGTGCATGGAAAGGGTGCTCTTTGGGTCTGAGGAACCAGGATCTCCTTGACTTGTTACAACGTATGTCGAAGGAGGCTGCAACATGAGTTGAACGGATCCAAATTGCTTTCCGTTGCCAATTGGTGCCAGGCCGAGAAGAATCTAGCCGAACTGCGTAAGAAAGAGGACGGGGCCGGACGGGGTGATAGGATGTGATGTGCACACCGAATTGAGATAGTTGAGGGAATGTTTGAGGGCTGCTCCAGGAGCCACAGCTTCAGCGAGAAATATATCAAGCACGCAATAAACATCACCTGAGATTTAGGGTACTCAAGCACTGTTTTTTCATTGTCATTCTTCAGTTCATAAGTTGATGTCGTGCTACCTTTTCTGTCCAACTGAAATTGAAATACCGAATTGAATACGATTGTTGACTCTACTTGAATCTTGAAGCCAGCCTTGTCACTCAGACTCGCTCTCTCCCTCCCCCCTCTCTCTCTCTCTCTCTCTTTTTTTCTCTCTCTCTCTCTCTCTCTCTCGCTCTCTCTCTTTTTCTCTCTCTCTCTCTATCTCTCTCTCCCGTGTCTTGACCTCGCCGCTTAAGTTTCACGCCCACGCAGCACAGACAGTCAAAGAGAAGACAACTATGTGAAGGCCCTGACAATGAAATGTTGCACGCAAAGAACCCACGAAAAGAATGAGGGAAGTTCTTCAAGTGAAGGGATAGAGAAAATGACGGCAGTTCATCCCGAGACAA